TGGCCGATTGATCAAAAATAGTGGCCGGCCGACCAAACACAATGCCGACCAACCATCAATAGTGCCGACCGGCCATCACCAATGGCCGGTGGCAAGGAAACAAGGCCGGTGGCCTCAAGCCATGGCCGGTGAGGTGTGGGGATGGCCTACAAGCTACTTCCCACCCTTAGAAGCAGAACAACAAGTGTTTGGTGCAAAACCAGACACAAAACAGTCGAGTCGAGAGATCCTGAGGCAGGGCGCGTAGCCGAGACCTCCGAGAACTCAAGACGAACACGAACAAGGATGATCACCGAGTGTTCAAACGATGACGCCCAAGTCTTGAGGACGGTTAAAAATGGGGTGTCTATACTTGCCTTACATCTTTCTTGTTGTAGCAGGTGTTACATTTGATCTCATTGTTGGGACTGACTCGGTCGAACTTGTAATGCGTCAGTTACCATCTAGTCGAGGTTGTATACAATCTTTTACTATGTGACCAACTTTCCCACACTAATCGTAAGCTCTTGTAGTATGGTAACAAACGCCCCGATGCTTCTTTCCACATATAGCACAAGTGGACACTGAATTGCCACTCTGATTTGAAACTGAATCACTGGATTTTGATTTCTTAGTCATTGAAGACGTTGCTCCCTTATTGAAATTTTGTCTCTTACCTCTCCATTCAAAATTCTGGCTGTGAGCGGCCATATTTGCTTCTGACATCAGCGCTTTGTCCAGTATATCAACATACTTTGGCAATTCATGTACATTAATTCTTTCCAAGATTGAATCACGAAGACCTCCCTCAAACTTCCTAGCCTTCTTGTAATCTGTATTAACCATATGTAGCGCAAATCGTGCCAACTCTGTAAATTGGGCTTCATATTCAGCCATTGTCATGTTCCCCTACTATAGTTGCTCAAACTTAGATACTTTTCTATCCTGGACACACTACGGGAAGTACTTCTCATAGAAAATTTCTAAAAATCGAGCCCAATCAATTCCCTTTTTATCATCACGAACTAAGATCCACCATTTCCTTGCTTTATCTTCTAGAGTGAATGCAACCAATTGAACCTTCTGTGCCTTTGTGCATAGAAACACCTCAAATAGCTTTTCGATTCCTAAAACCAAGGCCTCAACCTTTAGTGGATCAAGTCCTCCATAAGACAAGGGTGGCTTCATTTTTTGAATTCTTTGATGAGTGCAATGGTTCGATCATCTATTTGGTGGTCCTGTACTGGTGGTACGGGTATCGAAGGTGGGGGTGGCAGTTGTTGTTGTCTTAATTGTTCAGCCTTGTCATGTATCATTCTCCCCATTTTGTCAAGTCTTGAGGAGGTAGACTCCTCTAATTCATCCCCTCTTGTTCTCACCATTATCTATATAAAACTTGTATTATAATACATGAATGGATGCATATACATATACATAATTACAAAATTTATTTTAGTATGATATTCAAATGCATATGAATGCAATCTTTAAGTCTTTTCTAGACACCTTATTGCTCAATGGACAAGTGAGTGAGATATAACTCGTACTCTGATACCACTCTGTCACGACCCAAACTCACCCCTATAGGCTTAGGTCATGACCGGCAAGTAATCTTGAATTATCTTCGACCTCAATGCCAAAACAATAACAAGACTTAGCAGAAGCAATACAGATATATATATAACAAAGTCCATTGAGCAGTGTATATATACCAAAACCATACTAATAAAAACTTTAAACCTCATTTAACTTATATACAATATATCGAAGTTGAACTTCTTAAATATCGTCATTCCAAACCATTTCCAAAACATTAAAAATAAACAAAACAAAACAAAGGATGATTGACAAAGCTTGACTCCTCTTAAGTCCAAGCACACCCCTTCACGGAGGCACTCAAGAACGGCTTCACAGGGATAGACACCGAGGCTGCCTTAAACTTGACGTCCTGCTTACTCATCTACATATATATATATATATATATAAGGGAGATGCGTGAACTGAAACCCAGTTAGTAATATCAATATAAATGTTTTATATGAATGAACTCCAGTATGTTACAAAACACATTTTTCGTTTCTGAAACAATTCATACCAATAAGTAATTATTAGAGTAAACAATCATATCAATCTCTTCTTTGCAATAATAATAATCAATCATTTAATTTAAGTGGTACATCCAATAGAGTATCAAAGAGACAATGTGTCGAAGCCAATATGACCACAAGGGTCAATCCAATGGGACCATGAAGGGTCAATCAATAATTCATAATACAATGTGGATCATGAAGGTTTAACACTAGAGATCTCTGTGTTTCAATTAATCCAATGGGTCATGGTATTGTTTCCTCCGGACAAGGGCATATTAATCTTGTCATATTAATCAATGGGCAATGGTATTATTTTTCCCGGGTGAGGGCCTCACTAGTGGATGCCACGATTGCAATTCAAAAGGCGCATTCATTCATAAATAACAAAATAAAATTGAAAATACCAATCTTGAACAATTTCAAAATACATTTTGAACATAGTTTTATAAAGACATTACTCACAGTAGGTTAAATCGATATTAGGCCTCAGACGTCCACCTATGCAATACACATTTTGAAACACAACCTCAATCAAACGTTCTATAATTCAATTTTCTCTTAATGTGTTTCTAGTTCATTTCCCTATTAAGGATGCCTAAGAAATGCCCAAAGGATGCCTAAAAGAGCATGAAAACGTAGGCATGCACATGAGAGTATATTTCAAAAATGCTGAAAACAGGGCTGTTCGCTTGAGCGCACCTTTGGTCACTCGAGCGATGTGGCCTATCTGCAAAAGTACTAGATGGTCGAAATGTGTGCTTGATAGTGGCTCAAGCCATGTGCAATGTGTTTGCAAAAAAACTGGATGCATGCAAAGTGCGCTCAAGAGATAGATAGTTTGCTTGAGCGGTGAGACAAAATTCTGAAATTTCTAGAACATGGTTCAAGTTTAAAAGCATAATTCCAAGTTGTAAAGCTTGCATGGTTGTACCCAAAAGCACCAAAACTCTTTGGAAAGCATATAAACATAACCAATTGCTCAACATCATTGTCAATTCTTAAAATCAAACTCAAAACTCGATACTTTAGCCATGCATGTAATGATTGTCCTCTTTTCTTTTCAAAACATGTTCATATGAGATGTGGGGTATAAAATTGTGAAGAACCCTAAGGAACAACAAGTGTAAGTCACGCGCACGTATGAATTTGGAGAAAAATCATGCTCAAAGATGGAGAATTATGCATGCATGTACACAATTAACTCAATTCTTCCATGAATAAGTTGATTCCTTCATTTTCTTAACAATTCCATGCAAATGATCCTACAAATTTGGTGAATTCAATTTCTATATGAATTTTTTACAAGAATTATGAGTGAATTCCACGCCTATAACTTGAATTCAAGGATAGAAGCTTAATCTCTTCAAGTTTCCTTCAAATTTCTACGCCTGCGTTTGGTTGTGTTTTGTAAATGTGATTTGAGAGTATGAGTTGTATTTTGAGTTGTGTGTTGTAGAATTATGATTTGAGTGTAGAAAATTTGTTTGGTAAAGAGTTTTGAAAATAGTTTTGAAAAAGAGGTTTGATTTGAGTGGGGAATTGTTGATGTGACATTTGATATGTGATACAAAAATTTACAACTCATAACTAAACATACAATTCAAAATTATTTTAAAGCACATAAAAAATTTAAAAATTTTTAGAAAATATTTTTCCCGACTATATAAATGAATTGCAAAAAAAAAAAAAACTGTACAGCAGAGGACATCCGGGCGGATGTCCCTAGGGACGTCCGGGTGGAAGACCCCATGGACATCCGGGCAGTCTTCCCTGAGGCAAAAAAATCACAAAAAACACTGCTGATGCACAGAGCTCTCGACAGAGATTTTGAAAATTGATTCCAAACACTCAACCAAACATCATACTGAAACACACCTGTAGAATTACATTTTCAATTCACAACCAAACATCATCCTTTCTCTCTCTCTCTCTCTCTCTCTCTCTCTACAATTGTTGCTCTCCCTCTCACTAAATTTTTAGCTCAATTGATGTAAATGAATTCAATACATAACCTTATAACATATATACAGGTTAGATTAAGTTAAGTTAATCATGTGGGATTAGGCTTAATTCTAATCAATTTTAATTAATTTATTTTAATTATTTTGATTCGAATCAAATTTTAAATAAATTTATTATAAGATTCTAAATATTCTAATTAACCTATTAAACTAATCAATTTCGATTTTTGAATTTCTTTCGGCTTTCAATTTTCAATTTAAAGTAAGCATTTAGACAAGTTTTCCATAAACAAAATGAACAAATTAAACACATAATTATATAAATATGTCCAATAAAATAATATATACATACATTAGGATTGTCACATATAAGGGCCAAAATAAAAAAAATAAAAAAATAAACTTTAAGTCAAACTAAAAAAATGGGACTGGTGGTTGTTGTGCTTTATGACACAATAATCTTGCCGTGAGATTCCGTAGAGGCATTTTTGTCTTATTTTGATAATCTGAACCGTTGATATTGTAAGATTTGTCGAGTATATTATTTATATGAAAAATCAAATTAATTAGATATCTATAATCCCGTGATCAAATCCTAATTGTTTTAAAAAATATTAAAATCATGTTAACCGTTTATTTTTGAAAAACAAATGTGCTTTTATTATGAGGTTGCAAATGTCCAATTTATTTTATTTTTTGTATGAATGACCTATTCAACAAAATTTATAATATGAACGACTCAAATTAACGAAAAAGACTCGGGACACATTCCCATTGAACTTCACGGCAGCCTAGGTACAACAGGAACTCTTTGACATATAAGGTAATTTACCCGTATAAGGTAATTTCCAAACTCAAAAAAATGACATATAAGGTAATTTACCCGTATAAGGTAATTTACTTATTTTGTGGCGGTTTGTTCGTAGAAAGAGAGCAATCTGCGACTCGACAACGGTTTGTGGCTCTGTTTATTTCTTACCAAACAAAACGAAGTCTGGTTCTACAATTTTAGAGAGAGAAAGAAAGAGTTTTAGAGAGAGAGAGAGAGAGAGAGGGTTTTGCTTTCATTTGCTTGAAGCTTGTTCTCTGTTTATTGGTGTTTTGTTGGTTCAATTTGTAGGTGAAAATGGCAAATTGTGTGGAAAAGGAGACTCGAAGTGGACCTAGCGACGACGTCGTCTCTGTCGAGCTTCCAGCCCCTCCTACTTGGAAGAAATTGGTCTCTCTCTCTCTCTCTCTCTCTCTCTCTCTCTCTCTTGCAGCTTCTTCTTCTTATATATATATGTCTATTTTGGTTGTGGGTTTGTAATTTGGGGCTGAATAGTTGTTCCTTTGGTAGAATTTGGGCTATTCCTTACTTGTTCACATCTAGGGTTTTGTCGGTTTGTGGGAAATTTGGTAGTGTCTTGCTTTTTTTAGGGTTTTAATTGCTTGTGGAGTTGACTTCATTTGTTATTGTTCTCGTTGTTATTATCCTTAGGTTTCCAATGAACTCCTTGTGGTTTTTGTTTTCTCTCTTTTCCTTGATTGAAGTTCATACAATTCTCTATGTGGATCTGAATGAACAAATTTTGTAGTAAAAATTTTTGTTTCCTTAAAATTGGTAAAAAAAAAATAAAAAAAAAATGCTGAAATTCAGGATAAAAATTGTGAATAGGGGAACTAATTTCAATTCATTGAGGTGAAAGATAAAAATTGTGAATAGGGGAACTAATTTCAATTCATTGAGGTGTAAAGGAGTACAAGTAAGAAATGTGCCCTGGGGAACTAATTTCGATTAATTGGTAATGTGATATTACTTTCCTTGTTTACTATTTATTTGAAATTCCCCCAAATATTTTCACTTCAAAAGAATTTTTGCCTGAAAATGTTTGAGTGCAAACAGTGTCTTTCATTGTTTCTGTTTTATCGTGCCTTGTCAGTTAAAATTATGAAAGAAGAAAAAAATCGATTAATCTTTTTAAGTCAGGCTAAGTATATTGGACAGTTTCAGTTGAAAATTGCATATCCTTTCTTTGTTTTGTTGTTGCCTCATAAATAACAGTAGCTGAGACACCTTGAACCTGTTGATTGAGACAGTGTCAAATTGTATTTTAGCATTTTCATGTTCCTTGACCTGTGGGGCACTCAGATTTTTCTTAGGGTTTGGAATGGATACTTGAAAACAATGGTTAGCATAATTCGTTCTTTATTTAGTAGTCATCTGTTCTGGGATTAAATCCAAATCAAGTGATGAGGTTCAACAGGTTTTTCATGTCATGTGGAATGTTGAAGGATAGGATGTTGTAATTTATTTATCTTCATTAGATTTTTTGTTGTATCCAACTGAATCATGCAATGTGTATACAGAACAGAGCTCTTTCCTCCTTGTTAGTGACTATTATTTTTTGTTATTGCTATCTTTCCCTTCCCCACTCCCACCACAGGCAACTCTTATTTTTGGCAGAAGCTCTCTCTCTCCCTTTCACACACACACGCATCCTTGTTGGACTCCAAATATTCAAATTTTTGATCTCCTAACAGTGTTGATTTTGACAAGGATTTTCATGAAGTTATTATCCCCCCTCCCCCTTATCTCGTAATGTTTATTTTCATTATATTCTTTATTTGATTTCAGAAGTTATGTAGGTTAAAACTTTGATTTTGAGGAAAAATAATGAAAAATTTGATGACTATTAACCAGGGTAGTAAGGCCTTATAGTGAATTCCTTGCCAGTGGCTTGTCACTGGAGGAGTCCCTCTATCATAATCCCTGTTGTAGTATAGCCTCTTAGTAGTCTCTTTCTAGAAATCACTCTCTCATTCGACCCTTGTACTTATGGTGTGTTCTCATGGTGACTTCTATGGGCGTAACAGAGGGTATTGATTTGTGATTCCTACTGTAACTATGCTTAGGAGTTCAGTTGTGATGATGAGATGGATTAATGATAGTGCAATTGCCATGGGATTGAAGTGGATGGAAAATGGGTTGAAGAGAAGGCCAGTGTCCGTGGATTAGACGAGGTCCCAAAAAATTAGAGGTCTTAAAAAGCGTACTTTAATTTAATGTTTTTTTAGACAGCACTTCTTGGTTAGCGTTTCTGTGTTGTATAGTAGAGTACTAGTGTACACTATAATGGGTGAGTGATGGAACACAAAGGTCAGAGTTACAAACCCTGGCATTACTTCTATTTTTAATAGCGGATATTCAGAAATTGCCTTGTGGTTTCTCCCCCCACATTGAAGGGTCTCCCATGTAAATAATAATGTTTCTTATGTGATTGAGATTTGATTCTTTGGGCTTGACATTGCTTCCATTTAATCTAGTTTTAACTATGTGACGGAAAATATGGTGGTTTTCCTAATGTGTAAGAAATGCACTTTAGATATATCCTGTCTTTGTGACCAAATTGATAGGTCTGTAATACTTAAAAAACCATTGGACATTACTTGGAGAAAGTGGCTTGGAGATGCATTGTCCTTGTTAATTATTCCTTGACACACCACAGAAATTGACATGGTTAAGACTGTCCTTTTGGACTCCACGGACTTACTTTGGAGGCATGAAATGTATATCATGTCTACCATACAAAGAAGAGTGATAATATTTTCATGTGCTTGTATATGTTCTTGCATGCTCACCATGTCTCTACGTACTGTTTTCTTGAAAATATGCCTTTTTGGTGTCTCTATATGATGTTGAATATTTGTCTTTTGTCATGTAAGATGTGATTAGGTTAAAGAGTATTTAGAGCTATGTTTAATCTTTCACTAGTATTGTTTTAGGGTTCATGTAAAAGATTAGTTATGTTTCATATTGAATAAAAAACTGCCGAGGGATAGGGTTCTTTTATAATATATTATAGTAATTTGTGATGCAATCATGCCAACAATAATCTTGTCTAAGTGTAAGTAGAGCTATGTTTCTCAAGTAAACCTTGATCAGTTGATTAGTGTCTCACTGTAAATTGGGAGGACAATTAAAAGAGAGCTATATAATGGCAAAGAAGCACAATTTGGAATGTTTAACAGTTTACATTAATGAGTTGAGAATGTCAAGGTCGGGATGTTAAGCTATTGAGCAGTAAGACTGTGAGCATCTAGAGTAAAAATGTGGATGAGTTGAAGAGATGCTTTGGTGTGGTTTGTTAAGTTACAAAAGAGCATAACCAAAGAAACGATTTTATCATATGGCCAATTGGTTTTATGTATTTGATGCAACAATGGTTTGCTAACAGGTAATGCTTGATGACAACAATGATATGCCCCTCATCGCAGTGTCTTCTGATTGTGTTTTTAACTCATAGCAAATGCAATGGTTTAGTTACTTCTTTAATTTATTTATTGTCCTTAATTTGCTTTGTATGCTTGTTTTTCACATTATTAAAAGGTTGAAAATTTTGATCACCTGAATTTTTAACTAATGACCCAATGTGATCATTTCACTGGGAAATGTGGTGCATCGTTCTTTCTGGTTGCATGCTTGGTTTCTGATGTTTCTAAATGGTTCCTCTAACTGTATTTGTTGGTAGTTGTTGAGAGTCTGTGTGTAACGAATTTATCCTCTGGTTCTTTGCAGTTCATGCCAAAGAGAGGAGGTACTCCAAGGAAGACTAAGATAGTATTTATTGCTCCGACAGGGGAGGAGATTAACAACAAAAAACAGTTGGAGCAGTACCTAAAATCACATCCTGGTAATCCTGCGGTATCCGAGTTTGATTGGGGCACTGGTGAGACTCCAAGGAGATCAGGGCGGATAAGTGCAAAGGCTAAGGCAATGCCGCCATCGGCTGAAAGCGAGCCACCAAAGAAACGAGGCCGTAAATCATCAGGTTCTAAGGATAGCAAGGACACAGAAGCCACCGCTGAGGAAATCGAAGGTAAAAAAGAAGTCGAAATGCAAGATGTGGTTGTCACTGAGAAGGTTGCTGGAGAAGATGGTCCCACAGAAAATCAGGCTGAGAATGGGGGTAACCAAGATACCAAAATGCAAGAAATTGGTCTGGAGATTCAGAATGATTTTCAGGAAACCAAGACTGGTGTAGTAAAGGCAACAGGGGACAAACAAACTGATGAAGCTAGTGGTGTTGAAGTTACCCGGAATGAAGACGTAAGTGTAGAAGACAAACAGGTTTTGGAAGAAGTGGAGCAACCACAGAATGAAACTGTAGAAGTTAGTGGTACAAGCGATGAGAAACAGGACAAACCTGAAAATGTCACAGTGCAGATAGAGAATGAAGAAGAGCAAGAGAAACCCAATGGCGTTGCACCTTCGTTTGGAGAAGATATTGAAGAGACTAGGGAAGGGCAAGAGAGTGATACTAAATTTAATCTGCAGGTGGAGGAGAAAGGCGAGAAAGTGGATGACAAGGTTAACCAACCTGAGCGAGCCGAAGATATTGAAGAGACAAGGGAAGGGCAAGAGAGTGATACTAAATTTAATCTGCAGGTGGAGGAGAAAGGCGAGAAGGTGGATGGCAAGGTTAACCAACCTGAGCAAGCCGAAGCTATTGAAGAGACAAGGGAAGGGCAAGAGAGTGATACTAAATTTAGTCTGCTGGTGGAGGAGAAAGGCGAGAAAGTGGATGGCAAGGTTAACCAACCTGAGCAAGCCGAAGCTATTGAAGAGACAAGGGAAGGGCAAGAGAGTGATACTAAATTTAATCTGCAGGTGGAGGAGAAAGGCGAGAAAGTGGATGGCAAGGTTAACCAACCTGAGCGAGCCAATGCTGCACACCATTCAACTCTGTCACCAGTTAGCTGCTAGATGTACTACCATTTCCACAACTTCTTTTTGTTACATCTCTGATGCCTCTTTGACTTGAATTTCTTGGATGACTGTAATATTAAATGTTAATTAATGCTAGATTTGATTGAAGCTTAGATTTGTTTTCTGTAGACATCTTATTGACTTTCTATTGGGTACTTATTTACTTAAATAATCTTAGTGTCATGGCCTTGCTTATTTCCAAGTTGTCCACATGAGATTCAGACACTCACAAGTCTTTCTAATGAGGCTAAGTCAGCCGAACTCCAAAAGAATTGCAATAAGAGAAGCCTAGACAGTTTGAGAGAATGCCTTTATATTCATTTGAAAGGATTTTGTACAACTTGTGAATGGATCGGAGCAAATAAGCTTCTCTCCAATTTATAAGCTCCTTTGGAACATTATAAAATACACAAGAAACAGATATGTGGAAGCTTTTTATGGAAGTCTTCTTACAAGTTACAAAAATATTTTAGAATGTTTTTTAGAAATATCTATACAAATATTTACAAGTTTAGTATCATGTACAAGTGTATATGTATTTGAATTTTCTAAGAACTTATAGAATTCTCTCTGATCTCACTTGTGCTAGGGTTTGCTAGAAAGTTCTAGATTTTTTCATTGACTCTCATTCTTTCAAGCTCTCATTTGGTAAGATTTTTGCCATGAAGAATTCAGCAGGGTGTGAGATTACGGTTAGGGCATTTTCTTTGTTTGATGTTACATGGCAAAATAGTGCTCAGAAGTGTAGTCATATTGAACTCATTTCAAACAAGTTTGGGAAATTTCATAGTAGGTTTTTAATAATAAATCATGAGGTTAAAAGCTTGTTTTAGCTAGTTTTTTTTACAAGATCTTGAAGACCATCAACATGACATTTGGAAGTGTTGATTCTTAAAAGGGTTTGTGTGTGTGTGTGTGTGTGTGAGAGAGAGAGAGAGAGAGAGAGAGAGAGAGAGAGAGAGAGAGAGAGAGAGAGAGAGAGAGAGAGGGGAGAGAGAATAAATTCTGAGAAAGAACAAATCAATGATTTTTGCCATTTGGAAGTGTGAGAGTTTCTGTGAGAAGTACGTAGAATTTATGCACACACACATATATCTATATAATAAGGGAAGAGAGTTTTTGAATTTATCCTAGAGACATTTGTCCTATTAGGACATTTTAATGGTTATGACTCATTTTTGTATTTGGATGAACAACTGAGATGAATGATAGTTCCTGCCCAACTATTTCACACTATAAAGAGTCCCACCTACCCACGTCTCCTGCCTTCCCACGTCTGAACCCCCCATCTTCCCTCTGTATCTCTCTCACTCCCACTCTTTATTCTCTTTCCCACGTCTGCATCCCCCCACCTTCCCTCTCTATCTCTCTCACTCTCGGTTCTTCATCTTCTTTAACAGAACGAAAAAAGCCCCATTTTGTCTCTGTGGGGTAGTTCTGCGTCGCACTCAGATTTTTTGTTCATTAGCAATCAAATATGTTCCCCTCCTCTCGCTGCTCAATTCTCCGTATCGAGCTGTGAAGCATCTGCATCTCCCTACCTTCACTCTCTACCTCTCTCACTCTCGGTTCTTCTTCTTCTTCAACAAAACGAAAAAACCCCTCTTATGTTCTCTTTATAGGGCTGTGAACAGATTATACGGTTGTTTGCCTATGCCATTTTTTTCATTCTTTAAAAAGAATTTTGTATTCAAAGTTTGATTTTCTATCGGGCTATATTGATTTTTTTTTGGTTTCAGATTCTAAGAATTTTCTGTCGAGCTGTATTCTAAGAATTTTTGCAGAGTCTGCTCTCCACTCTCGGCTTGCCAAGGTAAGATGCTCGCTCCCCTTCTCTTTACTTCTGATATGCAATTCGTTTTTCCCTAATTAATTGAGTTTGTATCTCTCCATCTAGGTTAACATTCTAAGAATTTTTTTAACTCCTAATCGTTGGGTGTTTGTTCCATTGGGTTGTTTTTTTTTAACCATTTCCATGCTCTGTTTTTTTTTTAAAAAAAATTGTATTCAAAGTTAGATTTTTTGTAATGGAAAAGTATTTGATTCTAATTAAACTTAGAATCTGTTGCAATACATTTGACAGTAATGGAACAATACATTTGCATTACAAAACATGTATACATTATTTGATTCTAATGAAACTTAGAATTTGTTGGGTTCAAAACACCAGGCTGTATTCTAAGAATCTGCTCTCCACTCTCGGCTCGCCGAGGTAAAATGCTAGCTCCCCTTCTCTTTATGTTCCCCTCCTCTCGTTGCTCAATTCTCTCTATCGGGTTGTGATGTTTTCAAAGTTTAATTTTAGTTCATTATGGTGATTTGCTTAGGAAAAGAAATTGATATGCAATTCATTTTTCCCTAATTAATTTTCTTATATTATATGCATTATAAATGAGTTCGTATCTCTTCATCTAGGTTAAGATTCTAAGAATTTTTTGAACTCTTAATCATTGGGTGTTTGTTCCATTGGTTTGTTTTTTTTAACCATTTCCATGCTCTGTTTTTTTTTTTTTTTTTTTTTTAAATTTTTTTTTCAAAGTTAGATTTTTTGTAATGGAAAAGTATTTGATTCTAATGAAACTTAGAATCTGTTGCAATACATTTGACAGTAATGGAACAATACATTTGCATTACAAAACATGAATACATTATTTTTTTTTAAAGTTGTATTCAAAGTTACAAAACATGTATACATTTGACATTAATGGAACAAACATGTATACATTATTTTTTGTAATGGAAAAGATCCCTTTTCTTGCTATCTATTTGCAATACATTATGTTTTGTGTTCCATTAATAAACCTGCGTGTTTTTCACTGGTTTACCCTAGAAAAAACTCTTAATCGACTGTTTAACTTAAAAAAAATTTAACTGCTAATCAAACAGTTTCTGACTTGCAAATTTTTGGCTTGCTAATTGACTGTCAACTGCTAATTTTTTAGAACCTGTTTTTGAGGTTTGAGATCCTCACTGTGATCAAACCCTCTGTCAACTGGATATGCTCCATTTTACTAGTCATCTTGGGCATGTAATTGATCGTATATATGTATATATGTATATGCATATCTTAGCTTGGTGGCAGGTTGTTGATTTTGCTAAGATAAGAGGCTTTCTTTCCATAATTTTAGCTTGCTAGATTTGTATCAAGGTTATGCCTCACTAGATTCATTAGCCTAGAGAAAACCAAAAATTGTCATGATGTGTCAAGGTTGAGGCCTCACCTGTTGGGCATTTTTTTTTTTTCATATGGTGGTTTTTATAAATAAATTTGTCATGATGTATATATGTTTTATTTTTTCTATTTGTAATTTAGATTGAACTTTATTTGATTAAGAAAATTACAGTGAGCAACTTTAGTACGAAAAAGACAACTTAAATGTGCAAATCTGTCAATGGGAAGAAAATTTTTGAGAACTTTGTAGAACTGTGGAACAATAAAATGAAAGTAAGGGAATAGAACGTGTATGTAGGTGTAGGGATGAAGTATTTCTTTTTTTAAAGAAAATATATAATTGGGCAGTTAAATGTGAGAAGTTGTAGGTGTGGAGCAATAAAAGGTGAAGGTACAAAACGAGGATAGTTAAATAGTGGAGGTGTAAGTTTTTCATAAAAATATAAGCTTAAAATCCACATTATAATGTTGGATTTATTTTTCTAGTGTGGCCCAATAGCCTACATATTTTCCACATGTTTTAATTTATTTGGACTCTACAAATAGATAAAGCCAATATTTGAGATCAAGTTCAGTAAATAGAATTTTAATATAATCACTCTTCTAAGATAAGAAGGAAACCTTGATGGATTAGGAATTCTTCTGATAGAGTTTATCTGGCCCTCTTCTCTCCTTTATATAAGGATGAGTGACTCCCCTTTCATATCATGAGTATTTTTCCATCACTTTAAGTTTTATAGTCATCCTAATTAAGAGAGACAGAGAGAAGAAGGTGAGCCAAAATTAAAGGTTCAACTCTAAGGGGTATTTTCTTAACTTCTCTAATTCAATGGCTGACAAAGGTATATTCGTTTTATTCTTGAGTTGTATTGAATTTAAGATCCTGTAAAGTTTAATTCCGCATTATTATTATGGTTACATGTATTATTAAATCTTACATGTGGTATCAGAGTTTTAGTTTGTGAATCAATACACCTTGGAATAATAATATATTTATAAATATTGTTATTATATTATAATTATAATTATTCATAACAACATATTTTTTGTTCATAAGGTTTGAACTCTCGGCATGTGTTGGTTATCTTGAATATACGCTGTATGTTCAACCTTATAAGCTGCATGCCATATTTATTAGGCAGTATCTGAATGGTACATCTAATCTCTTTCATATTCATTATGCATCAAAGAAACTCTTTTTGTGTTGTTAAAAGTCAAAGGTTGTGTAAAAGAAGATTTCATTCCTGATTTCTAAATCGTAACTAAGTATGCACATCATGGACTCCCTCACTCACTTTGTTTTGTGATATGTTAGGTGCAAACTTTTATGTAATTCTATATGCTGTTCATATGCATGTTTTGATTTATTATCAATTTTAGTGATAATAATTTTTATAATCATCATAATATGTTATTGAATTGAGTGTATTACTTGCCGTTATGATAAAGTGCATAGATTAAAACAATTTAAGAATTTCTGCTGAATCGTTTCGGAACTATAAATAAATATAATTATTTTGATTGTATCACATTAGAAGAATTTGTTTTTGCTTTGTTTAAAATATGCACACTTATTGTCTATTATTGTTAAATATTTATATATTTTCCATGATTAAAAATTGAATATCCATGATATAATTTTATTGACATTGAATATTAAATATTAAAGTGTTAATTCATATTAGGTGTAATTTCTTATTAACCATATTTTAAGCATATTCATGTTGTTATACATGACATATATAAATATTCCTGTTCATGCCAGAGTGTATTATTATTATATTGGTAATAGCAATACATAAAAGAATTTTAAGAAAATCATAAAAAGTGAATCTCATTAAAATTGTGAATGAATTAATGATAATTAAAATAACTCAAAATTAATGAATAGAGAATATTGTTATTTATTCGCGTATTCATAAGGTTTACTAATTTAGTAGCTGCCAAAGTGGCCTAAATTTGTAAAGCTACGTGAATAATGAACTACATAAAAAAGATTTTAAAAAGGGTAACACACTACAAA